GGCAAAAAAAACTGCCAGTGACGAAAAGATCTTTTGGAATTTGCCACGGTATCTGGAAGTACTTGGAGGAGCACCTGACTGTGTGGCACAAGCACACACACACATATCACACATACTCATACCACTATGAAGTCCTATCCATATCAAAATAAGCAGACACATGCACAGCAACGTGTGTGTGCATGCGTGATTAACATAGTAAATTTTGGTACACATGCGTGTGCACATGCGTTATTACGTGCGGATTGTATTTCACGCCTAACAAGAAGATGTGTATTGTACTTAAAGTGTGTGCACGTCACTGTTGGAGAAATTGTGTTCACACACACGCATGTTCACATTTTTTGATACTACGCAACCGGTAGTTTATCTGCATCGCGCACACCAGTTCGCGTGCATGAACGCCTCACGAAGTTTCCTTTCCATTTCATTCCATTTCTGTGTTCCATTTTCATCCAGTAGATGGTGCCATCGAGCCAATAATACACTAGACATATATAATTATAGTTTTTTAAAAAAAAAGTATTATTATTAGATGTAATTAGAAAAAGGCGGACACAAAGTTAGCCTAGATACAGTTTTTTTTAGTATTGTGGAAGAAAGTATTTGCATGAAATATTTGTTGTACCATTACCACAGAGAGCAGAGTTAGCTCACTGTGTAGGGTGCTAGGATTACAGTCTAAACATTATGCAGTCTGATAGCTGGTCTCCCCACAATGCGATGATCCCCTGGTCAACTATAGTTTGATGATTTTTCAATCATCTTTCCCGGTCAACTATAATTCAATGACTATGTAATAAAATGTAAAAGGAAACTACGTGAGGCGTTCATGCATGTGGACTGGTGTGCGTGGTGCAGATAAACTTCTGGTTGCGTAGAATCAACAAGTGCGAACGCGTGTGTGTGTGGAGACTTAACAACATTTCTCCAATGGTGACAGACGGACGTGCACACGCTGTAAATACAGTACGCATCTTACGCGTGATGTAGTTTGCGCACGTCATAGATGTGTGCTGCACCTGTGGGTATACTTGCTGCAGCATGGGCATTTGTCGATGCAGTCAAAATGTCTGAAATTGGTGGTCTCCGCTAGGGGCAGACCGTAGAACTCAGACACAGAGGTCGCGAAAAGCGTAGAAGGCGGTGACAGTGTATGTCCGGATAAACACAAACATGGACACTCTCGATGAAGAGGAGATCATAATTTTATTGCTGTTAAGATCTCGGCAGAGGAAAAGGCATTGTCTCCGCCGCCATCGGAGATGGTATGTAAATTATTCACCGCCATTGTGATGACGTCCGACCTCACGTTCACAGTCTCTAGGTATACTTCGCAAGAGCGCCTCTAGTGTTCGTGTCAATATTGCATCTCACATACGTGTAACGCTACCTCGCAGCAAAGTGTGCGGTCTACGCACCAAACGACTGCAAAATACGCATGGCAGCCAAACGTGCACGAAAACTGCACACGTTTAGTGCAGCAAGTATACTTTAGCCATTATAATGCTTGTGTTATGAAGCACATTTTTAGCTGTCAACTTCTGGTCGAAATCTTTGACCAATAACCGTCATTTTATTGTTCACCTTGAATTAACATGAATTCATCATATCAAATGAACTTGTGTTGTAATATGTAAAGTGAAAATATTCTGAATAAATTGATCATATTTGTTTTAAACAATCTTTTGTTTTATCATTCCTTAACATTCTGTCACTGGTGTTACAGTGTGTAACTGGGGTTACTGTATGCCATATTGGTGTTCTGGTATCAGAGTTGCCCAATTAATTTAAATATGTTTTTGGTATCTACCTAACTGTTATTACATTCACTAGTAAACATTTTAAGTGCATGATATTTCAAGTTTGAGGACTGAGTGTCCAGTATTTTTAATGTTACGTAAAAAAGAAAAAAATGGTAGTAACGGAAAAATGTCATAAAATAGAACTTTACACGTAAGTGTTAAAAGTATATTAATACTTATCAAAACAGTTTAATTATATTATTCACCTTTTCTGTCTTTGATTATATGTGCAAATTAAATAGTCAAATTACATTCTTTAAAGCCTGAATTATCATCTAACACATAGGTAACACCAGTGACAAAAAAAAGAACAAGCATTTCTTAATGTAATGTAGTAAAAATATAAAAATACATTAAGCTGTCATTTGTGTTGATTTATAATGTTAAGGGGTTAACTATTACTATTATTAACTTTTGGATTGAAAAAAATAATAAAAATGAAAGTCAAAATTGCTGTTCAAAAAGCCACCATTACGTTTGATTTGCTTGTGGGCTAATAGCAAACATTCAGGAAGCTAACGTTAGCTTAGAATTAGGCTAACGTTGTTTGGGATGGGGACCATAGACATATATACGTAGACGCCGCATCAAGTGGGTTTGCCCGCTGCTGCGATACGTCAACGTCGCTGCCATATTGGATGTGGCAAGGCTGCGCTGTAAACTAATACAAGTGAATGGACTTAATTTCATAAAGCGCCTTTCTACAAAGAAATTTACGATAATGCCTCTCGTTTATTCATTCACATATGCACTAATATACTTGAGAAACAGTTAGGCACCAAAAACAATGTATTTGATCTTTTCAGATGGCTAAGATAAGAACTTTATTGATCCCACACAGGATTAATTCACCTTACATCAGCTATAGAGAACAAGGTAGTGCCGAAAAACAATACACAGTATACATATATATATGTATGTGTGTGTGTGTGTGTGTGTAGCCTACCTAGTAGGCTACAGTAGGCCTACAATAAAAATACAAGACACAGTAAAAGGACAGACAGATACAAAAATAGCAAATATTTGCATATAAACTAAACCTAACCGTACTCACGGCAGGATTTGCAAGCGCTGAAATTAAGCTGTTTGGTGACTCAGATATCCTACACAATTACACTTTTTGGGGCTTCTGAGGCTTGCGCTTCCCTTCCTTCAGAACGGTACTCCATGCTGGGGAGAGGAGTTGGGGGCATGCCGTCACCCCCAGTGACTGCCGAGCAGGCTCCGACGACCCCGGGGCTTC